CACGGACCGCGAGATCATGACCTGAGCCGAAGTCAGCCGCTTAACCGACTGAGCCACGCAGGCGCCCCATAAATTCTTATTTTTAATTCGTGGATTGACTGAGGCAACAAATCATGTACAATATGGGTATATAATGTAATAGGATTTAAAATTTTCTATGTTAAGACTTTTGTCTTTCAGAGGTACTTTTTTTTCAATTCATATTTTTTCCCCCAAAGTGGTTAAAAAACAGAGAACTTTGTTTCAATTTTAGTCAAACGTGTATCTTGCCTTTAGCCTGCTTTTTAATGCTGATTGGTATATTTCCTAGTTGGCCTTTATTTGGGATCTCTTTGCTTAATAGGTATATGAAAATCTTAGTTAAAATATAACTAACTCAATTATTTGGCTTCTCTGATGTTTTCTGCTTGTACAGTTGTCCCGTGATATTTTTGAATATTTAAATAATCTGGGCACCTGCGTGGCTTAGTCGGTTAAGGGTCTGACTTCTCATGGTCCATGGGTTTGAGCCCCGTATCGGGCTCTGTGCTGACAGCTCAGAGCCTGGAGCCTGCTTTGGATTCTGTGTCTCCTTCTCTCTTCTGCCCCTCCCCTGCTCGTGTTGTCTCTATGGGTCTCAAAAATAAATAAATGTTAAAAAAGAAAAAAAAAAGAAAAGAAAGAAAAAAGATACAATGGCCATTATCATGATCGACTAGAATGGTTTTCCATGAGAAAATTATTTGAAATCTGGCCACAGATCTGTTACTGTTAGTAATGAGCTTGCCCTGAATGTATTTTGAGTCTTAGAATAATCAGATGATAATATGAAATCATCAGAATAAGCAAGAGTTTGAAAAATAAGAATCCAGATGGTGACCTGTGCGGTTTTTTAGTGCTATTTAAAGTCACACGAGCAAGAATATACTAAATTTCACTGAATTTACTGATAAGTGTTGGGAAGCTCCTTCCTTTTATTGTGGTATAAGTACATTTACCATTTAAGTGTACAATTTATTGAAATTAAGTACATTCATGGTGTTGTGCAGTCATCACCACCATCTATCTCTAGAACTTTTTTTTTCTTAATTACCCATTCTGAAAATAGTGCTCCCTGAATCTTTTTATTTTATTTTTTATTTTTTTAAATTTACATCCAAATTAGCGTATAGTGCAACAATGATTTCAGGAGTAGATTCTGTGCCCCTTACCCATTTAGCCCATCCCCCCTCCCACAACCCCTCCTGTAACCCTCAGTTCTCCATATTTATGAGTCTCTTCTGTTTTGTCCCCCTCCCTGTTTTTATATTATTTTTGCTTCCCTTCCCTTATGTTCATATGTTTTGTCTCTTAAGGTTCTCATATGAGTGAAGTCATATGATATTTGTCTTTGTCTGACTAATTTCACTTAGCATAATACCCTCCAGGTTCCCTCCATGTAGTTGCAAATGGCAAGATTTCATTCTTTTTGATTGCTGAGTAATACTCCATTATATATATATGTGTGTGTGTGTGTGTGTGTTGTGTATGTGTATATATACCACATCTTTTTTATCCATTCATCCATCGATGGACATTTGGGCTCTTTCCATACTTTGGCTACTGTTGATAGTGCTGCTATAAACATTGGAGTGCATGTGCCCCTTCAAAACATCACACCTGTATCCTGTGGATAAATGCCTAGTAGTGCAATTGCTGGGGCGTAGGGTAGTTCTATTTTTAGTTTTTTGAGGAACCTCCATACTGTTTTCTAGAGTGGCTGCACCAGCTTGCATTCCCACATCTCTAGAACTTTTTTATCTTTCCAAAGAAACTCTACCTATTAAACAGTAATTCCCCATTCTCCCCTCAGCCCCTAGGAACCACATTTCTACTTCCTGTGTCTATGTGTTTGACTACTCTAGGGACTTAATACAAATGGAATCACAGTATTTGTTCTGACTGGATTATTTCACTTAGAATAATGTCTTCAAGGTTCATCCAGATTGTAGTATGTATCAAAATATCCTTTTAAAGGCTGAATAATAGTGTATGTATATACCATAGTGTGTATTTATTCATCTGTTGATGGATACGTGGGTTGTTGTCATCTTTTGGTTATTGTGAATAATGCTACTATGCACATGAGTGTGCTGGAATCCTCTCAGATTTCACACTTAATGGTGAAAGCGTACTTTTAGAAATACACTTGCTCTTCTTTTTGTGGTAAAAATAGTGATATAGTATGTGTAAAATAACATGGTGACAAACTAATGGTCTCAACATACTGTTAGAAATATTTTAGGAAAAGTTATATGCTAAAAGCGTGCTTATGCAGTTTGATTATGGTATCTCAGCACATAGTGTTTTAAGATTGTTTCAGGAATAAAGTGTGTTTAGAACTACTTTTTTGTGAACCACTAAAGGAGAGCTATGTTGAAGATTTGTACTCAATGGTAAATTATTTGAACAGTGTTTTATGAAGGAATTGTATAACCGGTGATACTGCAGTGCATTGAATGGAATTTTAAAAAGGAAATTAGGATATGATTGCAATTTATTCACTTCATCATTTATCGGTAAGCAAAAAAAGGTGAAGCCAGAACACCACAGAATATTATAACATATTTTTATTGTCAATTTTATGAAAATAATGCCCTTATAATACAATAGATACAGATTTTTTACAGTATTTCCAAATGAAATGGAAGGAACCATTGAAGGTTGTTGTTTCATGCAGGTTTGTTTCATCTCCTGGCTGTTTCAAATTTGTTGACCATTTCTTTAATAAGTGACCATTAGTAGTATGCTTTGTTAGCACGTATTTTTGAGAAAATTTAATCTGTTCCTTCAAGATAAAAGGAAAATTTTAATAGTAAATGACTACTTTTCCAAAGAAATGTGAGCTGTGGAGAAAGCATTTTGATGCTGAATGTTTGGAAATGCTTCCATCATTGTATAATTTTGTGTGTCTGCAAATACTATATCTGCACCTTAAAACAGTTGGAAACAGAAATTTCTTGTTTTAAAGTCAGGGTATTAGTCTGGGTTCTCCAGAGAAACAGTACCAAGGGTGGGGGGGCGTGGGGAGAGAGGGAGGGAGGGGGGGAGAGAGAGAGAGAGAGAGAGAGAGAGAGAGAGAGAGAGAGTGTGTGTGTGTGTGTGTGTGTGTGTGTGTGTGTAGAGAAAATGAGAGAGATTGATTGGTTTATAAGGAATTCTGTGACAACGATTTTACAGGCTTGGCAACTCCAAATTCTGCACAAGGTAGGCCCAGGGAAGAGTTCTTGTTGCAGTTCTAGCCCAAAGGCAGTCAGCTGGCAGCATCCCATCTTGCAAGGTCAGTCTTTGTTCTGCTAAGGCTTTCAACTGATTGGATAAGGCCCACCCACATTATGGAGGGTAATCTGTTTTATTCTAAATTTACCAATTTAATATTTATCTCATCTAAAAATGCCTTCACAGAAACACCCAGGATAATATTGGATCACATATATGGGCAATGTGGCCTAGTCAAATTGACACACAAAATCATATCACAGTTTCAGTGGAGTTTGAACTTATTTGTTAAAAATATAAACATGTGGTGTTTCCTGATTAGTTTGTAAAAATAACAAACTAACATCAAGGACCTTTATTAGCCAGATTTTAACACAAGCCTTTGCATATAGGTAAATGAGGTTTAAGAAGGAATTGGGAAGTATAGTCAATAATGAATTTTTTCCATTTAGAACTTTATATCTTTGTGGGATGTTTTTTGTTTCCCCAACTCTGATAATCACTAAACATTAAGTGTTCACAGTTTGGAACCAAGGCTTTTTGATTTATTTGCTATTAAGTATTATACCAAGATTTTAGAAATAATGAAGCATATTTAATTCATTGCTCTCACTAAAATTGTTCATATTTTTAAAAAGTAATGGCCCAAAGGCTTTTGTTAAATAAGTTAAAAAATTATTTAAAACTAACATTTATTTCATTTAAACTTCTTTTTAAAATTTCTATTTTTGTGCATTTCACAATTATGTAATTTAATAGTATAGTGTATATAATTTACAAAGTTACATGTACAGATATTCACATTTTTTACTAATAGGGGTTTGTAATTTTAAAAAATTAAAGATTTTATCTAGAAGAAAAATAAGTGTAATGTAAAATTTGATGAAGATGATGGTGGGAAGAAGCCTTTGAAGCATTTTGGAAAAATGAAGGGTGATTGTTTTAGCTTCAGACTGTTCCTTTAGGGGGGAATGTTTTTTGTTGAGAGTTACTTAGTTTGAAAGAGAATTCAATTTATAATAGGAAATACTAATACTCCAATTAAGTTCACTGGGCAGTGCATTGTTTTGCTGTTTCCAAGTCTGCTTCAGAAGCCACATGATAATGTAAGAGTTGTATGAAAGAATAGAAATAGAGTAGTAATACCAAACTGTGATAGCCTGATGAATTCTGCCTCTGCTGTTTAGATAGAATTTACCTTTACAAGTAGAATTTAAAATGATTTAAGGTAGGGAAAGGGATAAAGGGCGAAGACTTGGAGATGATTCATATGTAAATAATGAATCTGATTAAACAATGGGTGATTTAGAAAAAGAAGAACTATTAGAGATACAAAAAGGGATGATTTTTGACTATTTTATCAACATAGGTTTTTGATATGGGAGAGGGAGAAAACACCAAGTTTTTAGTCAATTTGGAGATTGGAGTCAATTTGAAGGATAGGAAATGATGATTTCTTAGACAAGAGGTCGAAAGGAATATTTGAGGATTGAAAGAGCTCTGCAGGATAACATAACTTTGTGATGTGTTGGTATCATGTTTACTGCATTGTAGAACACTTAATGACATTATCATAACCCTATTGAGGTGTGTGATGGGATTCCCATTTTAAGATGGAAAAAGTTCAGAGAGCCTTCATAACTGCCCAAGGTCAAACGTATGGTAAATGCAGAATTTACCAGGTGTATTTGATTTTGTTTAGCTTCATTGAGTGCTTGCTATGGTGCCAGGCATGGTGCTTATTATGCCTTGGGAGTTTCGAGATGAATAATACATGGTTCTTGACCTCCAGAGTATGGCAAGTGAATAAGATAGTAATTTTTAAGCTTCTGCACAACAAAGGAAATAATAAACAAAACTAAAAGGCAAACCTATGGAATAGGAGAAGATATTTGCAAATGATATATCTATCTGATAAGGGGTTAATGTCCAAAATATATTAAAAAGAACTTACACAATACAAAACCAAAAAAACCAAATAATCAAAAATGGGCAGAGGACCTGAACAGACATTTTCCAAAGAAGACATAACAGATGGCCAGCAGACATGAAAAGATGCTCAACCTCCCTGATCATCAGGGAATGCAGATCAGAGCTGTAGTCACCTCCAGTTTGTCAGAATGGTTAAAAACAACACAGGAAACAGGTGTTGTCGAGGATATGGAGAAAAGGGAACCTGGAACCCTCTTGCACCATTGGTGGGAATGCAAACTGGTGCAGCCCCTCTGGAAAACAGTATGGAGGTTCTTCAAAAAAACTAAAAATAGAACTACCCTCTGATGCAGCAATCACACTACTGGTATTTACCCAAAGAATACAAAAGTACTAATTCAAAGGGATACACGCACCCCAAAGTTTATAGCAGCATTATCTACAATAGCCAAATTATGGAAACAGCCCCTGTCCACTGATTGATAAATGGATAAAGAAGGTGTGTGTGTGTGTGTGTGTGTGTGTGTGTGTATATGTATATGTATATATGTATATATACATATATATAAAGAATACATATATACATCTATATAAAGAAGCTATAAAAAAGAATGAAATCTTGCCATTTGCAATGACATGAATGGAGCTATAGAGTATTATTCTAAGTGAAATAAGTCAGAGAAAAATACCATATAATTCACTCATGTGGAATTTAAGAAGCAAAACAAACAAGCAATGGGGAAAGAAGAGAGGCAAACCCAGATTTTTAACTATAGAGAACAAACTGTTAGTTATCAGAAGGGAAGTGGGGAGGGGCGGGGAGAATGGGTGAAATAGATGACTAAGGAATGCACTTGTGAAGAGAACCACGTGATGAATGGAAGAGTTAAATGACTATTGTCTACCTGAAACTAATAATTACATTGTGTGTTAACTAGCTGGAATTTAAATAACTTTTAAAAGAGAGTAATTTTTAGGGGAGCCTTGGGGACCCCTAGATCAATATACCCCAGTCTGAGAGTTTAGGGCCATTTTCTGGAAGCCACGGTACCTGAACTAAATCTCAGAGGAGGAATAAGAGTAAATTGTAAAAAAGGTGACCAGGGGAGAGTGTTGCATCCAGAGGAAACCACATGTGTAAAGGCATTCAGACATAAAGCTCTGTGATTTATGCTAAGAAATTTAGCATTCTAAGAAATTTAACATTTGTAACCTACTTCTATGTAGATCTTAAAGGATGAGGTGAGTGGAGACCAATAGAGAAGCCTCTCTGAATAAATATCAGAAGCTGGTTAAAATATTTGTGGATAAAATTTTAGACTTTTCAATGTGTTTTTACCTTCCCTTTCTAGGATCAGTTCGACAGCTTAGACAAGCATACACAATGGGGAATTGACTTCTTGGAAAGATATGCCAAATTTGTTAAAGAGAGGATAGAAATTGAACAGAACTATGCGAAACAATTGAGGTAAGTTATAATTTTTTTTCAGTTCTCAGAAATGAAGTTATATCTTTAAACAGATCAGTGTAAATTCTGTGGATTTTTTGGGTCGTAATTAGATTGAATTAGGTAACTGATTTTTAAAAAAAAAATTTTTTTTTAGCATTTATTTATTTTTGAGAGAAAGAGAGCGCAAGCTGGTGAGGGGCGGGGAGAGAGGGAGATACAGAATCAAGCAGGCTCCAGGCTCTGAGATGGCAGTACGGAGCCCAACGCGGGGCTCAAACCCCCTAGCCGCAAGATCATGACCTGAGCTGAGGTTGGACGCTCGACCAACTGAGCCACCCAGGTGCCCCATAACCAATTTGTTTTAATCAATTTAATTAAATAATTGGAATTATTTAGGAATATTGGCTAGCTAGATCATGCCGTAGATATTCCAGAAACATATGTAAAATGCTAAAATCAGGAAGCAAAATGCCAGGAAAAAGAAATTCCTGAGTAATATGCTTTCCCCTGTAATTTTGCTCTAGTAATCTTTCAAAAGCGTTGAAGATTTCTTCAATTTCTCAGTTCTTCAGAGTTTATAGAACTTCGAAATTGAGTGTGCGGAGCTGAATTTCTGTCAAAAATCAGATAATATATTTCTGATGAAAGTAATGTTGGAGTATGTGTTAGAAGATAATAGTTTTAAAGGGAAAGCTTTAGCCATAAAACAGATGGAATTTATCTTAAGGTTTTGTTCAGGTGGAAAATTGTTGTGAGACTACACCTTGACAAATAGTTTTGGTAGAACTTAATAAAAACGGTGCTTAAAGTCTCAAAGACTAGACCCCAGTATAAGGTTCTAGCCAGCAGGGTTAGGGTTCCTTATGTTGCAAGTGACAGAAAAGTAACCTAAAACAGGCACACATGACTAAGAAATGTAGGTATATTTAGGAGCGCCCGGGTGGCTCAGTCCATTAAACGTCCATCTCTTGGTTTTGGCCCAGGTTATGATCTCATGGTTGGTGAGATTGAGCCCCACTTAGATCTCTGTGTTGACAGTGTGGAGCCTGTTAGCGATCTTTTTCTCCCTCTCTCTCTGCCTCTTACCCCATTATCTCTCCTCTCTCTCTTTCTCTCTCAAAATAAATAAATAAATAAACAAACAAACAAACAAACATTTTTAATTAGAAAAAAAATTCAGGTATATTTTGATTCAGGGATCAAATGTGTCCACGCACCATTTCTTGGCTCTGCTTCCCCTTGTTGCTTTTATCTTCAGTTTCCATTCAGTACTATCCTTCCTGCCCCTTTAGCTCTAGATTTCATATCTTCATACCTCCACATTCCAGGGAATGATGGTCTTTTCTGTTGTGCATTTGGGGAAGGAGAGAGGAAGGAAAAGGGAGAAAGAAGAAATTGAAAGAGGGTGGGGGGGGGGTGGAAGGAAAGCAGAGTGTAAGCTTGTGCCACCTTCTTTTTTCCAGAAACTCCAGTGAAGGTCATCTTTTATCATGCTAAACCTAGTGAGGTTATATGTTTCTCCTGAACAGTTGAGAGGTAGGAATACTCTTAGGTTGACTTATAGCTAGTGAAGGGGGAGGATAGTTACCCTAAAGAAATTTAAGTGGGTGGCAAAAGATTAGGGGATATTTGAGTGATAAACCACATATATCTACTACAGTAGTAGTGGTGTATGTAACTACTGACTGGTTATAGGGATGGAATAGAGTAGTATGATGAATAGATTACTTACAGTATTTTTATAATGATATGCTATTATAATGACATTTGCTAACATAGTGGCGTCATGCTAATGTACTGATCCCATTCATTTCCTCTGGTTTTTGTGTTTTGTTGTTGAGAGAGAAACAGAGCATGAGGGGGGAGGGGCAGAGATGGAGACACAGGATTCAAAGCAGACTCTAAACTTTGAGCTGTTAGCACAGAGCCTGTGTGGGGCTTGAACTCACGAGATGTGAGATCATACCTGTGCTGAAGTTGGACGCTTAACTGACTGAGCCACCCAAGTGCCCCTGTTTTGTTTTGTTTTGTTTTGTTTTTTAAACAAGGTATTTTCCATATGAAAATATGAACCAGCAAACCTACTAGGATATTAATAAAAATAATGATAATATTTCACCTGTCCAAAAGTTATGATCTGGGAACTTTATCCAGAATCTAGAATTCTTTACCCAAAATCAAGAAGCATTAAGGACCTCTGAGAGGTTAAAATAGCAAGAAAAAGTAATCACATGTGAACAATGAAAAATTTCCCTCATTTAATTTTCAATTTGATCTCATTTCTAGCACAGTAAGTTGTCTGGTTCCCAAGTTTTCCAACGGAAGTGAGGATAAGAAATGTTACAGGCAATGTAGTGATGACAGTTTGAAGTGACAATAAGGGAAGAGTTCAACATACTACAAAAAAACAGATGAAAACAGTGTTTCCAACATAAAAGCACTTTGTCAGTAAGGGAATGATGAAAAATACTATGGAATAAGCAGTTTAAATAAATCACATGTAGCAGGATAAACTTAAAAGGCTATTCAGTCCATCAGTGTAAAAAGCAAATTGTAGAACTGAATGTACAGCAAGATCTCCTTCTTTACTCGTGTGTATGTATACAGTTTTGTATAAAAGTTGTATATTTTCTGAAGAAGTCTAGGATACACTCCAAATTGTTTTATAGTGGTTATCCCTAGGGAATGGGAGTGGGGGATTGGTAGGAAAAGGAAGTTCCATTTTTTATTTAGACTTTTGAAATAGTGAAGTTTTTTCAGTGGTTGTGTATTATTTTTGTAATTTAAAACATTTGTTCTTAAGCAAAGAAGATGACATATTTCAAAAGAAAATTCTGTTACAAATTATAAAATAAAAATTGGTAATTTAGGGGTGCCTGGGTGACTCAATCAGTGAAGCATCCCAACTTCAGCTTAGGTCATGAACTCGTGGTTTGTGAGTTCAAGCCCCATGTTGGGCTCTGTGCTGACAGCCCAGAGCCTGGAGCCTGCTTCGGATTCTGTGTCTCCCTCTCTCTCTGTTCTTTTCCCTCTTTCTCTCACTTCTTCCCCCCTTCCCTCTCAAAAATAAATAAACATTAAAAAAATTTGTTTTGAAAATTAGTATTTATAAGGTAGAACTTCAACAATCTGGATGTCTAGAATAACTGGACTCGGGTTTCAGGAAGGCCAAGGTTTTACTATAGTAATAGGGCTAATCAAATGGCAGATTTGTTAGCCTTTCTGTTTTGTGACTGATAATAACCATTATAATTTTCAATGAAGCAAGGGTGGCTAGAACCCACAATTACATGATATGTAAAATACAGTTTTGTAGGAGACAGTAAGCTTTATTACGTATAGATACTCTAGATCAGTGATTTGCATCTTTCTTCTCTACCAGCACACTAAAGAAATTTGGCACATCTCCATCTTAATAGTGGCTCTCCAGTGTAATGCTTTTCAACAAAGACAGGATTATTGGAAGGTGTTGAGGAATTCCAGTAAGGTAGAATTGGGAAGAGGCATGTGTAACTTAAACCACTGACTCCCTTTCCTCTCTCTACATTGAGATTTGCTCCTTTGGCTGAATACTTAGTAAATGATTGAATTATCATTTACATGCTCTTTATAGTATCTGTTTTGTCCAAAGGGAAGAAGTTTGCCTTGTTTATTTCCTCTCTAATGGGAAAAACTCTTTCACTACCTTTTGAAGCAATTTCTTTTATAGTGAGGCAGCTTCCCCCCCTCCTAAATAACTATATTCAGAATGTTATACATTTATATTTTAGATATATTGTAAGATTAAAATTTTTCAGCCTTTCGTACCCTTAGTTTATTTTCCTCTTCCCCCTCTTATTTGTCTGTGAGGAGTGACTTACATCCTTTCAAGTTGGAAGGGGATGAGGAATAGTGTAAGTCTCTAAGGAATTTGGAAGCAAGGTTTGTAGGAACTTGAGGGGCTAGTTGTTATTAGGAAAAGGTGATTTATTACTGTCTAGTAAAACTTTAGTCATGAGACCCTTCACATGTATATTAGTGGGCCCTATGCTTGGAGGATGATTGCTAACATGTAACTTGGGGCATGGAGATAAAAGAAGTTTCCAAAGGAATTTTTATATGTTAAAGGAGACTTACAGGGGTGCCTGGGTGGTGCAGTCGGTTAAGCGTCCGACTTCAGCCAGGTCACGATCTTGCGGTCCGTGAGTTCGAGCCCCGCGTCAGGCTCTGGGCTGATGGCTCAGAGCCTGGAGTCTGTTTCTGATTCTGTGTCTCCCTCTCTCTCTGCCCCTCCCCCGTTCATGCTCTCTCTCTGTCCCAAAAATAAATAAAAACGTTGAAAAAAAAATTTAAAAAAAAAAAAAAAAGGAGACTTACAGGATCTTGGAGGTTGGGATAATGTTAAGCTAAGATTGTGTTTTACCGTTAGCAAAGTATTAACGTTGAGGAAGTTGAGTTCCTAGAGGAAGGTCACTCTGCCTGTCTCAGGGACTTGTCGATAGGCTCTATAAGTTGTAAAGAAGTCTAATTTTTTTCTTTTTCTTTTGTCCTGTACATCAGTTACAGATAATTGAGTCATCTCCATTTTGAGTGATGATATATGGTGACATCAGATTACTTGGTAGAATGTTTTTTGGTTTGCAGGCATAAAAAATGAAATCGGTCATTCTTTTAATAAACTTACACTATTGTATTTGTATGGCAGAGATTAAAATTTCTTTAGTAAAAAATGAAGCTGTATGTACATGATAGATATATATCATTTTTTTCTAGTAAAGATAATTACAGTATTAAGTTCCATCATAGAGATTGTTCTATGAAATTGTATTCCTCTACTTCCACAGACCATTCCTTTTTGGTTCAGATATGGCAGTGTGGTATACTGGAAGAGAAATAGATTGGACGACAGAAGCTTAACAGCTACTCTTACTTTAACTAGAACAGAAATCTCTCCCAATTCCTTTTGATCTTATGTTGTGTACCAACGCCAAACCTGGCCTACATAACTGGTCCTCCTAGAGCTGAGTGGATATAAGTTG